CTGGGAGCCACATGCGTGTTGCACATTCATTGCTACCCAGAGGCAATTTCTGTGTAACAGTTTGGTATCGTCCTGACTGAGCTGCGAAAGGAAAGAAAGACAAGGGGAGCTGCGGATAGTGTGCAGGCATAACCAGTCCGTTGCTTTACCAGCCCTGCAGTGAGCTAAAGCAGCAATGGCGGCACTTCACACCGGAAGCTCAAGCTGCTTTCCGAGACCATGAATGGGACGGTGCCGTGCACGCCGACTCAGAAGAGTCCTTGGCGCGCGCACAAGAGGAGGAAACTTCCCAGGAGAGCCAGAGGTTTGATGAAGGTGTATTTCTGGTGCGGCAGAACAAGCTTTACTCCCCAGCTGCACAGAGGATGGGAATGAAAGCACAGGAGACAAGGAAATCCAGGGAGGTGTCAAAACAGAAGAACATCCAGAGACCGATTTGGGTGTTGATGGGGAAACAATTGCACCAGGTGACGATATGGGAGATGGGAACTTAGGAGATAATGTAGACGAAGCAGTTGAGGGTGCTCGTTCCAGAAGATGCATGCACAGAATGGGACAATTAGAATTGAGATTGATTGAGCGATGCAGGGAAAGGGGTGATAGCACCCTGCCTCTAGAAGGATGGCCCCGAAGGATTCAAAAACCCCGTGTAAGTTGAACTTAATTAGAACGAGAGGGCAACTTCCTAGTTTACATGACTGTAATTGAAATACTGTGTAGAATAAAGACTTCTGTAGCATCAACGGGAGTGATTACTTTCATTGGGAAGGAGCGCCAGCCGCACGACAGAAGGCTGGGCTCACGGACTGACTGCCAGTTGAGCAAACTGCATCAAGCTGCTGCATGTGCTGACGTTCAATTGTATTTCTACCCGAAGAAAAAGAGACTAGGGTTCCCATAGGAACCCATGGGCAGGACCGCATTGCGAAAGGATAGTCCATCCCATAGGCCTGGGGGAGGAATGCCATCATCTGGGCTACCGACAAGTTCAGACTAATCTCCGAATGATGCTGGCAGGCCTGGGTTCAGGGCAAAGATTGGGATGCTGGCAGGTCAGCGCACTGCCAGATAAGAAATGTTTCAAACACCTTGTTCGTGCAACCCCCTCATAGAGCAATCAAAGCCTGGCAAAAGGAGTGGAAGCTTTCTAGCACCTCCGGAGGATGCAGACTGGGGGAGCTGTGCCAGGATGCTGGCATGTTGGGAGCAGGCTGTACTCACAGGGACACAGACATTTCCCCACAAATTGCTACACACTGAGCAAGAATAATGGAAATCCACCCCCCACAAATATGAAAAGACTTTGAAGCTCTTTGGCCTTTTACTGTTCCATAAAGTGCCATAAATCAAGCCTTCCAATCTTGGTGGAATTTACTGCTCATTATTATTAAATGGGGCTTGTAGGGAGAGATCTGTTTGAGGAGACAGCTGTGGCCAGAGTCTTGTTCTAGGCAGTAGCGTGCATGTCAAAAATCACACAGGCAGAGCAACTGCGAGGCAGTTTCCAGAGAGAAGAACTCTCATGAACTTCTCATGAACTTGTGTCTAAAATTGCAGTCTGAAGGCGCAACCTTCAATAAGATAAATAAGCTAAATGAAACTAATTAAATGAATAAAACTTTATGCATGTTTAGAGAGGAAAAAAGTCCAACCACTCTTATCATGGCTGGCTGCGGACTGTGCCACGTGGCGTTGCTTGATTTAAATCTTGCGTGTGGAAAATCCAGTCTGTGGCACCTCCGGGTAGCCTGGGGAAGGACCCTGCTGGCCTCTGGAAGGCTGCTGCCTGCTGTGGGGGCCCAGTCCCCCCTCCCTTGCTGCACTCCCGCTGTGTTGGAGCTCCTGGCCAATCGACAGGCGCCCTGGGAGTCTGTCTGTTTGTTTGTTTACCTGGGTATTTTTATCCTGTCCAATTATGCTGCGTGTCTCTGGATGCCTTACCATCGAACACCCAATAAATACATAGAAACCCATAATAATCCGTAATAATCCACAACTGAACATAAGACATAGTTAGAATATTTAAACATTGAAATTTAAAATCTGTGGAATGCGCTCCCCAGAGAGGTCAGCCTGGCGCCGTCATTATTTGCTTTTCGGCGCCAGGTCAAGACCTTTTTATTTAAATGTTATTTTAATCGATTGTTAAATTATTTATTGCTTTTATCTAACTCCGGGATGTTTCCAATTCTGTATATTTTTGTATATTGTTATTTATTTGTTGGAAGCCGCCCCGAGGCTTATGCGAATAGGGCGGCATACAAGCACTCCAAACAAACAAACAAACAAACAAACAAATAAATAAATAAAATTATGGGAAAATAAAAAGGTCTTGACCTGGTGCCAAAAAGCGTATAACATCGGCACCAGGTGGTTCCTCTCTGGGGAGTGCATTCCATAGCCGGGGCGCCACCGCAGAGAAGGCCCTCCTCCGAGTATATTCTCTCCTAACCTCCTCCAAGGAGGGTTCCCAGAGCAGGGCCTCTGCTGCAGATCTTAAGAGCAGGTGAGCATATAGGGAAAAAGGCATTTCTTCAGGTATCCTGGTCCCAAGCCGTTGAGGGCTTAATAGGTCAATACCAGCACCTTAAATTGGGACCAGACTTCAATTGGAAGCCAGTGAAGAGGGCCAGTGTTATATGAGAATAGCGTCCGCCCCCCTGGCAGCAATCAGCTCTGTTCTGAACCATTTGAAGAATCCAGACCATCTTCAAGGGCAGCCCCACATAGAGCGCTTTACAGTAATCCAACCAGGAAGTTACCAGAGCATGTGTCACCATTGCTAGGCGGTGCTGGTCCAGGTAAGGATGCAGCTGATGGATCAGCCGAAGCTGAAGGAAAGTGCTCCTTGCCACCGCGCCACCTGGGCCTCCAGGGACAGCTCCGGGCCAAGGAGCACTCCCAAGCTGCGGACCCTGTCCGTCCAGGGCCGGGCCAAAATCACTTACCTGGAAACCTGAACCACCTACCAAGAGGACCTTCATCTCATCTGGATTGAGGCTCAGTTTATTGGCCCTTGTCCAGCCCATTACCTCGGCCAGGCACCAGTTCAGTACAGCCACTGCCTCACCTGGATCGGTTGAAAAAGAGAGGTAGAGCTGGGTATCATCAGCGTACTGATGATTCCGCAGCCCACACCTCCGGATGACTTCTCCCAGCGGTTTCATGTAAATGTTGAATAGCAAGAGGGACAAAATGGAGCCCTGTGGTACTCCAGGGCATAGCTGCCATGACGCAGAGCCAAAGTCCCCCAGCACCACCTTCTGGAATCGGCCATTGAGATAGGAGTGGAACCACTGCCAAGCAATGCCTCCTACTCCCAGTCCCGCCAGCCTGTCCAGAAGGATACCATGGTCGATGGTATCGAAAGCCGCTGAGAGGTCCAGGAGGACCAACAGGGACGCACTCCCCCGTCTCTCTCCCTGCACAGGTCATCGTACAGGGCGACCAGGGCAGATTCAGTACCGTACCCGGGTCTGAAGCCGGACTGAAATGGGTCAGATAATCCGTTTCATCCAAGAGGCCTGGAGTTGTCCCGCCACCACCCGCTCCAGCACCTTGCCCAGAAACGGGATGTTGGCCACCGGTCTATAACTGACGGCCACCTCTGAGTTGTAGTCTCCAACATCTGGAGGCACCAGGCTGCCAAGTGCCAGCATGCAGACGGTGCAAAACAAGAGGGACCAATGACCGATGTGGGAGGAGGCCGTTACCTCTGATCCCGAGGGGTCAAACTAGGACTGGGAGAGAGCCGGGTTCGGATCTCCACTCGGCAGTGCAGTGTGCTGCGTGCCCTCAGGCTGGCCGTGGCCCCTCAGCCTTGGCCATCTCCAAGCCAAGATGTGCAGGACCCCGGGACAGGCCGCAGCTGTGGACCGCCCCTTCAGCAAGCCTCCCTGCTCATTGCCAAGGGCCAGCAGCCGCTATTGCCCCTTGCCCGCTTGACTGGCAGGGAGCCGGGGGCGGAGAGGCAGGGCAGCCCGTTCTCCTCCCTCACCCCCAGCATTCTCCAGGCCTGGGCAAGAGGCAGGCAAACCGCGGGGGGCAGGAGGCGAAAAAGAGGCACCACCCACAGCACCGTTGCCAGTGGCCCCTACAGGGCCTGGATCGATGGCAGGCACCTGACCCTGCCTGCCCTTGCAGGATTATTGTAAGGATCGCATGGGTGCCTCAGAGAGAGCCCCCGAGGGCCCCCGAGCAGCTCAGGGAAAAGGCGAGTGAAATAGGTAAGGAATAAATACACACGGGACTGATAAATCCCAGAGGGCTGGTCCCTGGCTGCACCAGGGTAGCTACATGTCTATTTTGTAGAGGACAGTCCTCCATTTCAAGATGGCATTTCTTGGAAGGGTTCTCCTGCCCAGTTCTGGCTGGAGATCAGGAACAAGAAGAAGACTTGCCCACCAACGTGACACTTCCGGGCAGCAGAGCCAAGAGGCTGGCAGGCGCCTGGAAGCCTTCTGCACTATGTCACGGTTTGCTGTATTTCTGTTCGGATTCCACCATTATTTATTTTATTTTTTATTTTTTCGATTTATTATTTTCTCAATATGCTGAATTAGCACATGCTGGTGTCATGCAAATTTGCATTCCTCTTTCAGTTATTTCCTTGAGTACTTGGGGGTCCCTCCACACCATTTATTCACTTCATGAAAGGAAACAGAGGGAATTAACCTGATTTTTGCATCCCCAGGTTGGTCCTCTAAGTTGTTTAAAGATTAACTACTGCATCAGCCTTCCCCATTGCAGTGGAGGAAGCTGGTAGCACATTAACGGGAAGGGAAAGAGGAAAAGAAATTCTCTTTGAAGGAGCAGCTTGTCTACCAAGAGGCTGTTCTAACAAACATTGTTATCTGGTGCACAATGTAAACAGAAACCTGCCTGCCATTTCTTTGTTTTGAGAAAGATCCTTTGCAAAGAGGAAAGAAAAAAGAAACTTCTGGCGTCTTAAAGAATGACCAGTTTACTCTGGCAGATGTTTCATGATACAAAGAAGAATGCACATTCATTATTTAGCATGACCTCTTCTAAAAAACGAGGACCTGCATCATCAAAAAGGAGGATGACACAGGACACCAATGTGCACATGCAAATAAATATCCAGAAATGCACATGTTGACTATTATTATTATTTAATTACATCATTAATACAATAGGAGCCATCTGAAGCTGAATTCTAGAGCTGCCATTTTCCAAGATGGCTCCCATGTAAATGAAAAAATGCAGTGAATCATAAACAAAGTCATGCAGGAAGCTCACTTAGGGGGCGAATTGGGGAATTCTCAGCCAGGATGGGCAGAAGAACTCTTCCTAGGCACTGTGCTGCAGAAGGCCAGAAGAGGAGCTAGGACACCAGGTTTGGATCCCTGTTTACCAAGCGCCCTTCAGCCAGTCACCATCTTTAGAATAACCCAACTCAACAGGACATGCTATTTCCTCCTCTTATCCTCACATCAGCATGATTTATTTGAAGGAAGGGTGGAATGCAAGTTCTTACTTCATTAATACCATCAACCAGGTTTGCACAATATGAAGACCCAATGCAGGGCCACTGAAGGGCCGGTTGGTAGTTGTCAAATTGGGGATTGTGATAGCCAGCAAGCCTCAAATGACTCCCGATTGTGGCAGGGAGGGTGGGGACAACCTGGTCTTTCTGCACTTGGGATAACCAAGTATGGTCTGAAGGCACCCATGCTGAAGCCAAGCAGGCCTGGTGCTGGCCTCAGCTTGGAGGGCAGACCCCCTGGGAACGGCCCCCTTAAGTTCTCTCCACAATGGGAGAAAGCCGGACAAAAAAATAACTAATAAACAAACTGCTAGAGGCAGGGAACGTTCAAGGCGACCCTGATTGTCTGTTGGGCTCACCATGGGTTGTTCACACAGCAACCCAATCACTGTGGCGCAGTGTGAGCACACCCAATGAATCGGAGAGTGCATGCAAAAACAGCAAGCATTTTGATGGAGAAATGCAAAATTCACTCTGCAGGATGGTCACAATTGGGGTGGTGATTTAAAAGGAGCTTCGAGAACAGAGGTGCAAGGAAGTAGAGGCATAAGAAAATGTTTGCTTTGAGCAACGTTGATTTTCTTTTTCTCTCTCTGTGTAGACAATAAAGTTTGCATTTAAAGGGTACTGCTGGCTGTCTCTGCTATTGTTTCCCTACATGACCCAATTAGGGAATCTTTGCAGAAGGGTGTCCTGTGAGCTTATTATAGCAAGAACAAGACATGTCTTGTGGAACCTTACGGACTGTTGATTGATGGGAGTGGAAATATCCATGTCTCCTCCTTCCTTGCCCTCTGAATGCCAGTGGTTCGACGTGTCTCTGCATTTTATATAATCTTCAAATTGCTTCGGGAAGGATGCTCTCTCCCGGGACAACAGTCATGCCACTCCCTACTGCTCCGACCTAGGAGAAGTTCTGGAACAATGCCACGGGGTTTAGTTCACTTTGGACGGCGAGTGCACGTGTGACAAAGGGCTGTTGTAATATTTACTGGCAATATTTATTTATTTACCGAAACAATTGACAGCCACAGAACCGCAGTGTAATCAAAAAAGGGCATTCAAAATGAAACAAAGCCATTTTTACACCTAGCAGGGATCTAGTGTAGTCCTGCCCAACTTGGCGCATTCCAGATGTGCCGGACTGACTCTGAGCTGCCCCAGGAGCATGGCCCAGTGCTGGGGATGCTGGGTGTTACAGCCTTATACTTCTGGTTGGGGAAGGCTGCTTTACTGGAGGGCGAGATCCTTTTCTCCCTGAATCCACCAGCTTTAAAGGCTTCCTTTATTCCATCGCCGTTGCCACATTCCTTTCATCTGCAGTTGTCTCGCCCCTTCTTTCCTAAACACTTTCTGCATGAATTGGGCAGGGAGCATCAGCTGCTGGAGCAACTCGGTGAACTGTCTTGGATCAGCCTTGCCCAAGTCACGCCGTATCTTGACTTCGAAGGCAATTTGCATGGGAAGATTTTGGGGAGCTGGAGAGATTTTCTTCTTTCCTCGCAAACTTTGTGTCTGTCTATAATACAGAAGTTTCACCCCTTCCTTAGAAGGCTTCTCTCCATTTGTTAATTCAGGGGAGGAGAAATACCCTAGAAGTGCCAAAACCCCGGTAAAAGCTACCTAGACAATTTATGTCTAACATTCCTGACTTCGTAGGGGCATGCGATACACCGCAGGCTGGAGAGAAACGGATGTTCCCATGCTGCCCTTTCAGAGGTGGGAGAAACCCCCTTTCCTGAAGGCAGCCTGGCTCTCACACTTGCTCCTGGGAGAAACAGTTTCTCTGCCGCAGTTCCCCAAAGCTGCTTCCACCGCAACCGCACTCATGGAATTGGGACCATCTCCCTCCTTCTGAGCAACCAAACGACAGAGTTCTGCGTGGCAACAAGAAGCGTCCCACAGCCGAGCTGACCTCCTATTGCCAAGTCAGGCAATAGCCAAGATTCTGGAAAAGACTCATAGCCAGCGGGAGAGGGGAAAGTTTGCTTTGAAGTGGCAGGTTTCTTGGTGCTCAAACAAGCCGGGCAGCTCTCCTAACAGGTGAGGGCAGCTTTTGCAGGTACAGGTGTTGTGACATCTGATTAGGCTTGGAACATCAATCCTGCCATTACAGGGCGGAGCAGCCACTGCAGTAACACTCGCACCTCTAGGAAGGACTTTACTTTAATGCAGTTATATGTATTTCCAAGACGATTCACAGATCTCAGAACAAGCCAATTAACCACAGGCAAACAGGGCCAACATAAAGGAAACAACTCTCGAACACCAGCAGGTAAGCTACTCTTGTGACAGAAGGACTGCATTAACTGGCTTAATAGAAACCAGACTGGATTAAGACAGGCTTAATATAAGCCAGCTTTAAGAGCCTGGGCAAACCAACTCTAGCCTGTCTGTGAAAAGGGGACATAGGAAGGGCCAGAGTCCTCCTCTTCTCCTTCTGATTCCTCTGAAGTCCAGCCAGCAGCCCTGGAGAAAGGGGCTCCGAAGGACCTTCCTCACTCCCAGCAGTGGAGCTGTCTGCTTGAAGAAGCCATCAGCTTAATTCTGACGTGGTGCGGCAGACGATGCAAGCCGGCGGGGCCGACACCGCCTTCCACTTGGAAGACTCAGCCACAGATTTTGCAGAGAGCGGGCTCAGCACATCTTGTGACCAAGCCTGCTTCTCATTCCCGTCATCCATTCATAGTTACAGCCTCCCTCCCTCTCCCCCACCGCCCCTCTCTCATGCGTGTGTAAATGCAGCTATGCAAAGCACAACGGGTTTTGACATTTCCGCCTTTAGAGACACATAAGCAGATTTCGTTTCAGTAAGTTCAGTGAAGTGCATGAAAAAGCCTTTACATTTTTCCTGCATTATGACAGAGTTGTTCACTTATTGTGAAACCAAGTCTTCCTCATTTTATCATTTACAAAATGTCTTACAATGATTAAAAATCAGGAAGCGTGGTCCCAATCCTTACTGCTTGCACTGCATTATTCCTGTCTTTCTATTTCCTATAGCTGCCATTTAAAAGCCCTCATGGGCCACATACACCAATTTGATGCACATCTTCTTATGCTCTTATGACGGCGAGCTCCTCTTTGACCGCCATCACCCACGCACAGTTTCTCGCAGGGTTGTTCACCAGGCTGTGATACTCCCATTTCTTTGGAAATGTCTTTGAATTTCCCTTAAACGAACAGGCTTAATGTCACATTATCCTGGCACGAGATCCAGAGTGTTTCTAGATACTTCTCTTACATCTTTGACTGAAAGGCTTGCAGGATCGTGCTGCCCTATTATCGCTGTGATAGCCGATAGCAGCCTAGCTGAAATAGCGCAACTGAAACACAAGCTGGAAGGGACCAGGATTCAGAAGGACGAAATACATACGGCTCAGGGAAGCCGTACAGGAACAAAAAGCAGACAGCAGCTTGATTCTTGGACTCATGTGCATGTCATTTAGTTATCATGGTTTGAACCGTGGCCGAGCTTTGCTCCTGTATAACCTTTTTGTGCTTCTGGGTAGGCATGCAAAAAATTGCACTGCAAATTAGCTGCAATTAGTGCCCATTGCAGTCGATGTGCAACAAACTATCTGGACTATTTATTTATTTATTGATTGATTTATATCCTGCCTTTTTCCTACAAAGGGCTCAAGGCAGCTTACATCATTCTCTTCCTCCACCTTATCCCCACAACAACAACCCTGTGAGGTAGGTTGGGCCGAGAGTCTATGACTGGCCCAAAGTCACCCAGTGGGCTCCATGGCTGAGCGGGGACTCGAACCCAGATCGCCTGAGTCCCAGTCCCATGCTCTTCACCACTACGCCACACTGGCTCTCCAACCTATTTTTTTCTAGTTACCTGAAATAGAGAGATAGAGAAAGCTCACCATTTGGGTGGGTAGATGGATAACATTGTTTACAGAGTCATATACATTAATGTTATCTTTTCCTCTTCCTCCAAGGAACTCAGAGCAGCTCAGATGGGACTCCCAAAGGAGGGCCAAAGCGGCGTTGCGCAGCTCACAGGCCGATGTATGCGCCCTCCCCTCCTTCCTCCCGCCACTGCGTACAGCCACGGGGCCAACCACTGCTAATTTCAGCGGACACAGCTGGCTGCAGAGGGTCAAAAGTCTTCTCTTGGGCTGCCCAAAGGCACTTTGTCCAGGCCCTCTGAGTTGTACATGAGGCAGACAACACGATGAAATAAAATACAACAGCTTGTTCAAGAGACTGAGCCATGGAGCACAGCCTGCTTGAAAGCTGATGCTTCGGCCCTGTTTGCCTTCAATTCAGCTCAGCCGGCAGCCTTCAGGCCCGGCCTCCCTGGGGCAGGGCCGCCTCTCGATGCCTCCTCCTCCTCACTGGCCATGTCTCTGCTGTTCCCTGCTGCACAGTGTGAAAACTTGGGCTCATTCCTTCAATAAAGAGGTGAAGGGCCGAGACTTGGCCAGCCATAGCCTAATTCCAGCATCTTATAAACATCCAAGTGGCAGATGGTTGACATTAAAACGATGCTGCTGAGATCACTGTGGACCCATGATCTCTTCCACCAGCTCCTCTCTTTTCTTTAACAGGATAAACGTCTCTGAACAGAAGTAGCGCAACAGCTTCATCCATGGCAGAGGGCGACGAAGGCGGAAGGGACCGATGCCACCACGAATCACCCGTCCGCAGAGACCTTTTCTGCAGCAGGGGGGACCCCCGCAAGGGGACGGATTTAATGCACTGCATTCGCCCGGATGCTCTGCTGCCAAGGGCCGCCCTTGCTGGCGGACAGCACCGCCACCACGGTCTGGGCAGCCGTCTCCCCAAGGCGGAGGCAGGTGTCCAGCATGGCGCGGGCCCGGCCAGTCAGCGTGGGAAACGACGTGATCATCTCATAGTCCGTCCGGGACAGGAGCCGCTGGGCGCGCAGGACGTCCAGGAGGTGGTTCAGGCGCCCTTCTGTCATGCTGCTCAGGATGGCTTCCCGGTCCCAGGTGAGGAGGGAGGTGCCCATCTCTTTGCTGGGCCGTCCTGGCACACCAAAGAAAACATCATAAAAATCTCGGCATTATATTAATCAACTGGTTTTATCCTTGTCTTTATCCTTGTTTATTGGATGCAGTGTGTTGTGTTTTGTTGATGTTATGGTTTTTTTGTTCTTGGTTTTTGACCTTTGTAAGCCGTCCAGAGACTTTTAGTAATGGGATGGCATAGCAAAACTTTAAATAAAATAATAAATAAATAAATAAATAAATAAAGTGCATTGGTTTTTTCCTGCACCTGTTCCTTCAGAGAAGTGTTGGTCCTACCTGACCACAAGGGGGCAGTTTATCTGTAACTCTTGCCCTCACACACACCTCACGCCACTTTATAATCTAACCGGCTTTGTGCATCACAGCAGCCTGACGTTTTTTCCTTTTTCTGGTTTTGAAGCAGCTTAACAACCCAGTGACCCGCTGTGCTCCATACTGACTGGGGACACTGGGAGCTGCAGTCCACTCCATCTGAAGGGCAACAGGTTGGAGAAGGACACAAAGCTCTGTGGGAGCAAAGACTTGACCTCTTCAGCCAACGGGTTGCTGCCAGCAATGTCCTAAGGAACGAGCCTTTGCTATATTACAATTTTTATTGGACAACCACATGTTGTGGATTACATGAGCGGATCCGGCTGGAGCCGGGGGTCAGACTAGATGGCCCGGGAGACCCCTTCTGGCTCGCTCTGTTTCTGTGTTTCTATTATTACTGCACTGCATTTATATCCCCTTTTCCCTCTTGCAAGGAACCAAGGCAGCGTGAGCAAATGTGCGTAGCTAAGGCTGTGCGAGGTTCCCATCTCGCTGGAGCAGGAGCAGGAGGCTTGTGGCCCTCCAGGTGTCTGGGCCAGAAACGTCATCATAGCCAAATTCCCAGCAGAGGCATTGTGGGTCAAGACATCTGCAGGGCAGCATGTTGCCCTCCCCTCTCCTGAGGAACTCTGGGAAATGGAAGGAAAGGACAGCCAGGCCAAGGGCTGCGCCAAGTGTTGCCACTGCGGCCCACCAATAAAGGATGCTTCGTCCGCCCCTTGAGGATGGAGTCAGCCCAGGCATCTTCTGCCCCCATATCTAATTAGTAAGATACAGCAGCATCGTGCTGATTTCCTAACGATGCACAAAATTGGTAGTTGATTATAAACAGCGTGCTCCGTTTTGTCTTGGCCACTGGACGTAATCAACGGCACTATCCAAAGCAGCTCCTGCAGCCCGATCCTACGCTTGGTTACTCGGAAGGTAAGTCCCACTCAGTCCAGTGGAAATTATTCCCGGGTAGGCAGCCTTTCTTTGCCAGAGAATCATTTGGATTCAACACGCGACTTCTTCCTGCAGCTGCACCCGATAGGATAATCAGCAGTGTATCGCGTGCCGCTTCCTCAGAGCGTTGGTGCGCAGTGGAATGACCCATCCTCCCCTGCCTCCACCACAAAGGAAAACAAGTCTTTCAACCTAACCTCTTACTGTCTCTGCAGGCCTCTTCTGAGTGTGGCTGCAAGGAGGGCTGTGATCGCTGCCTTGCTCAAACAGCAGCGGCGGCCGCTTCCAAGCCTCCGTGCAAATCGGCAGCGTGCTTCTTCCACCTGCGCTTAAGCCAGGCCTGGGAAGGTTGGGCGAGGAACGTGGAGGTGGACTCGGCCCGTTGCTTTCCCAGATGGGTTGGTCTGCAAGAATGAATGCAAGAAGAAAAGTGCAGTGGCTGAATCAGAGAAGGGTCGCTGGGCCGTATGGTGGTTACATGCACACCCCAAAATAGTGCAAAATGTTAGACTGTCCACCCAGTAATACGCATGCTGAGCTGGTCCTGACATGCATTATATATGGTTAAGTTTGTGCACTGGGGAAGGTTGTGAGAAGTTGGGAGATGTGTGAGTTGCATTAAGAAATTGATTTTCATCCCAGTTTAGAGTAATAGCAAATGCATTTTTGGATGGCGGTCACTATTTGGCTGAAAAAGCCTCATCTACAAAGGCTCTTGAAGGCTTTTTGATTTGACTTCTTTTATTCATCTCAACTACTTCTATAGGTTGAATTTGCTATAAGGAGATCACTCTAAACCCAAGATGAGGTAATAGATACGTCAAAAACATGACAGAGACATGAGAACGAGGCAGTGCAATGACCCAGCAGGGAAGGGAGACCCAACACTTCTTCCAGCAGCGTCCAAAGTGTGCCACAGCCACCTTTTCCGCTTCTTGGACTAACGAAGAAGGACTCCCAGAAAATCTCACTTATTGACCAGCTATGGCGAGGGGAAATGGATTGCGAAGTACCCCGGTCCCGAGGTGTTCAGGGCTACAAGAGTCAGGCCAAAATCTTGGACGTGGCTTGACACCCGGTAGGCAACCTGTGCCATTCTTTTAATACAGGTGTAGTGTGTAAGATCCAGGTGCTCCACTCAGCATCCAGGTACGGCATCCCGCAACCATTCATAAGGGTAGCCCCATGAAGATTATTGATTTATTTAAAACATTTGTATGCCGTCCTTCACTATCGCGTCTCAGGATGGCTTTCATGATTAAAAGCAAACCATAAAACAATCGAACAATTGATAAAACTGAACAATACAATAAAATTATTGAAGCTAAAACAAATAAATCCAATCAAAACAAAACAAAAGCGAATGTAAAATGGTAAACTACAGAGAATGTAAACTACAGCCTCAGATTTCGGGGAGATACAAAAGGGGAAATGGAACGGAGTATCTTGGAAAAGGATATGGTTGTCTGTCAGGGATTTTAAACAGGGAACTCCGTTCTCTATTACTATACACAATTTAGAGAGACATGAAAAAGGGCAAGGAATTTCACAGGGCACCAAAGCTCAAGGCCTGGTCCCCAGAACGCCAAAAACCAGTTTTAGCAGCACCATTTCAGGCACAGGTTTTGCATCCATAAGGACTAGAAACCATCGTGTGTTAAAGCCAGTATTCCATGCTCAACACCACTTTCTGTGCTCTTATGGAATACAACCCTGTTTGTATTTCTCAGTGCCACTGTACTTATTTCTCACATAGTATACAACTGATGCACAGTCACATCTGTGTTCCTTGAACTGTTTACATCATATGGATATTTACTGGGGGTGAAACCCCAACACATGACAATGAGAGCTGCCTGAGACATACTCGGCCTGCTCACACAACCCAGTATGTCTGTGAGGAATCGCCACGTGCTTTGAAGAAATTTCCTGGATGCCTTTTTCCTCTTTTTGTCTGATTCCCAGACACTTCCCTCCATGTCTTGAAAACAAAGTAGGGAAGAGCTCAGATGGGAAGCGACTCTAAGATGACCTTCAAACTTTAGACTTGTTTGTTCAGACTTGTTTTGTATCCTGCTGACATATTAGGATCCTGTTGGAAAAATATTGCTGTGGGAGCAAGCCTGCCAGATTCCTGTTTCACCTAGCTTTTGGCGGTGCACCTAGACCTTGACTCGATTCGCTGGTGTCCTGTTCCTCCTCTCAACTGAGCCAGCTAAGAGGTGGGATCCAGGTCTGGCAGCCCAGAGGAAGGATGTAGCAAAGCGCAGCCTTCCGTCTGGTTACAGCCGCCCATGTCCATGGCTTCAGGGCTGGCCTTCAGGCGTACACCCTCACCTTGCTTTGGGGGATGCATCTGCATGCTAGCAAAGCTGGAGCACGGAAGACATGCCCCCCACCCGCTTTGCCAACTGCATTTTGAGTGCGGCTCTTTTGTTACTCAGTTCGCACCGGGAGAGAGCAGCCAAAGCTGAATCACGGCAGGAACACGGGGGCAGAGGGACTGGATGTCTCTAAGGGCGCAGTCCTTCCAGGATGCCCCCAAGCCCCAGAACTTGGGGTCTTACAGGCATCCAAAGGGAAGTGGGAGAAATGGCAGATCTGCTCCCCCATCCCCATGCCTGCATTTTTGCTGGATGGGCTTTTCTGCCCATCTAGATGGGCATCTTGGAGGGGAAGGGAAGAAGGCAGGAGCAGCTTCAAGACGCCTCACACCCTGGCCTCTCCGGTTACCTCCCCTTCCCATGCCCCGAACCTGTCCCTTTCTATCCCTCACTGGGCTGCTTCTTCCTCCACCGGATGCAAGAAAGCTGTAGCTGGGTCTCCAGTGCAGTCCCAGACCTTGGCCCTGGCAATCCAGAAAAAGCTGCAGCCCTTCAGGCGCTGCTGCTGGACTGCAGGATAACTCCCTAACACAACTCTCTGGATTGCAGAATTGGTCTGTTCTACCCACGCGGTAGCTGCTTTCTTCTTCCCTCCCCATCCCTTTTTTCTCTCATTCCATGGCCCTTGTAAGTTTTAGGTACTTTCTAGGGGGTTAAAAATATGAATGTCTTCCCGGCCTTCCGGGAAATGTAAGTATAAGATGGCACACAGCATTGTGCTAGAAAGAAGAAGGTGCTTCCTCCAACAGACACCTCCGGATTCCTGGCAAAGGTTTCCAAGATCAGAGCGGTGGAAATGGAAGATACAGAGTGCTTCCGCAATCAGTGAGAAAGGATGCATTCTGGACACAAGGCCACCGCACTCTGTCAGCTCAGCTGGGACCAAGGACAGTGCCAGCACAGCCCTGCATTCAGACTAGAGCGCAAGGGCAAAGGGCCCACGGCGCAACCCCATCCTCTCCCGCCTCATTTCCTCCTAACAGAGGAGCGTGATAATTCGCAGACTGCTGGCATGAATCACAATTTAATTTCTGGGCAGGGAATGGCCTCTTGCACACTCAAGCAATGCCAGCATTGCTAGACCTGAGCGTGCAAACGTGTCAGAAGCAGGCTTGTGCTGTCATTTGTTGCAATGGGCTTGATTTGGGATTAACGCCCACCCCAAATGGCTCAGGACTGCGGTACCTCAACCCGTTACCCGCCTTCCATGGTCATGCTGGGACTTCGACCACATGCATCCTCATTTGATAGATTCAAGAGTGAAGACAAGCACTACCTCTTCCAAACGCTGCATCGCAGGCCGCCTTCCCGGCACGGACTGTCTCGCTGGTGTCTTTTCCCGGCCCTTCAGCACCACTCTCAGGATAACCAGTTGACAAGCTCTCTGCTCTCAGAGTAATCCTTTTGTCGGGCCTGTTATTGTCCTGAGCACAGATTACCTGCCACAAACATCAAGAGACCATCGCAAACAACGTCAAGCAAGACACGCGGTTTTGGGTTCACCAGCAACACGCAATGCATCGATCACAACGGAGACGGCCTCTGCCCCACTGTAACTCCAAACCCGCGGGGCCAATGGCTATGCGAGAAGCCCACGAATGGCCAGTTGCCATCTCGACGGGCTAGGAGCAGCCTTAACTCAAACAGCGGGCCATCGATTCAGAGCCTCAAGCGATCCTCTCTGACCAGCCAGATGTCTCAGTCACAAAACGATCCTGGAATTTGGAAGGGCTTCCTCCTTCGCTGGATGCAAAGCCCTCCCAACAGCTGTTACCAGAGGGAAATATCAAAAAATCCCCTGTGAACAGAGACTGTGTCCACGTGGGGAAGAAATAATTCAGTCACTGGAACATGTCGCTCTTTATTGCCCTCCCTGTGCAGGTGCCCGCCTGGAATTGTTATTCCCACTCTTTTCTAAATATCCTGGTCATTCTGATCCTTTTTATCTGAAGGTGCTTTTATCTGATCAGTCTGATTTTATCTCGTTGAACACAGCCAAGTACTGTTCGATAGTCTGTCCAGTCCATGGGAGATTCAACTCGAAATGTTGTTGGGCTTTTATTAGAATAATTGCATTTTTCCTTATCTTAATTGTAATTTTAGAATTACTGTATTTTCCTTACCCCTAATTGTAATTTTGCATTTTATTTGCTGGTCGATGACCAAATAAAGAATTGATGATGGTGATGATGAAGCCAAACTGCATCTTGGCCCCTTCAGGCAGTTCTGTTGGCCCCCACCCTTCTGCGGAAACAATGTCATTGCGAATCGCACACAGAAAATAACAGCCACATCACATTACAGCTTTATCTGCCTATTTGTTTTAACTCTGGATTCTACGCAAATACAATAATGGTCATTAAAAATGTTTCCAATCAAAGATAAGCAGGACTGGCTCACTTAATGACTCTTTGCATTCGCTTTGAGGTTACGCAGATGCTCACATGCACGCAGCATTGTGGGTGCGTGCGTGCATAAGGGGCTGTTTGTGGTCCTATTTGCATTCATTTTATAGCATCATCACTTATGTATCAATGATATAAATAAGCATCGTTTGTTTATAACGGTATGCTAGAGGAGCATTCATTCATGCATGTTGTCATTTATTTATAACATTTTCATTTATTTATAGCACTGTGCTGCAAGAGCACTCATACTTGTCTGCGAAATTGGGTGGACATTTGCGCACTCCTGACACGGCATCTCATTTCTCATTTACTGCCAACTAGCAAAAGGCCTGGCTTTGATTCAGCTTCAAGCGAAGTGCAGAGGAGGCAGGGCTGCACCCGCTAGGCATGCCTGTCTCGCTGAAGCCATGCCTTGCAGGCACCCCCGGGCACAGCCTCTGCGCTCCCGCAAGACCCCGGAGGGGGAGGCATTCCCACTAGGGGCTTCCTGACTGCAGTGGGGAGGGGTCAACAGCTTATATTTGAACCAATCGATGTGTTTAAAAACAGCAAACTCTCCCCTTTACAGACACCCCAGAGTTCCCTTAGTATGTGCGCCAAGTTTCAGGTGTCTAGGCTGCATGGTCTTGGCCCCACAGCACTGACAGAGAGGTGGAAAGATACACCTGCACATCCTCTTGCAGTATTAGAAACGGGAAACACTTTTTTCTGGAGCTGCACAACTGTCAATCTACCACAACACACGAGCATCGGTTTGTCCCAGCAAAGTGCAAATCAGTCCCTTGCTTTAAAGACAAAACTTGGTAATTTTGAGTTAATGAGCCAAACAGACCTTTTTTTATACCCTTACTATAAATGCAGATTTATTCCGGTCACAAATGCTACAGAATCTCAGGAATGTAATCCACCTTCACACTGTTTTCCTTACAAATAATTTTCATCTTACATTTCCCTTTATTTTTTTACCTCTCCCATTTTGTGACTCAAGATCGCAGCACCCACTTTCTTGGCCCATGGGGCCAAATTCAGAGTCAGGGCACATTGGCGAAAGACTTGCCAAAATCACACGCCTTTTTACAGAACAGTCAAAGTCATCTGGACACCCTGCAGGAAGGGGCATCAACTGGAAGTTCCAACTGAGTCGGATCCATCCGTCACTTGTGCGTTTCCACGGGGGACAGTCCTCCTCTTAACTGAGCGGGGCCCTCGGGGCTCTGGGGGAACGGCGTTCGCTGCAAAAGGCCTGACTCTGCGGAAGCCTCTGCTTCCATATTCTTGGGGGCGCTAAGATCAGCTCCTTTACACACATTTTTCCCCACCGGGTGTTAATTCCCCCCCAAATGACCCCTCCATACCAGTGTTTTTAGCTTAGGATGCCTGCTGAAAATAACCCGACCTCAAGAAAGGTGTTTTGACCCTCCAAAATGGGGGACGACATGGAAGTCACTAAAGGATCAGTGGGAACCATGAATGGGAAACACGGAGGCCTGAATTTGTCCCCAGGAGCTGAGGCTCGGCACCCTGGTGTGGGCAGACGGGGCCAGATAATGCTGTCTTGGCACAGACGTGCCTGATGCTCACCTCCAAATTATGCTTGTCTGTTTCCAGGACATGAGAGATGGGGCCTTTGGCAGCATCTATCGCGCAGTCCTGCAAGAGAGAAGCGGCTCCTGAAACGGTGCTGCTGGAAGTGTGGACGCAACCCGGAAAACACCATCCCGAAAAGCGGCTAATACTAAATGGCTAGTGAGCTCCGTTCGGGAGAACTTTTGCTCTGTAATCACTCGCTTCCTTGGCTACATACTTACATTTATCGCAAGGTGAATTCAAATATTGCTTACAGTTTCCCCCACCTGGTACCCTGTACTGGACTACAACACCCACCATCCCCAAGGGGCAAGGCCGGGGTAGTTTGTTTATTTATTTAAACCTTTTTTAGACCGTCCCTTACTGTGGTCTCGGGATGGTTTAACAATAACACAAAACAGAATAAAATACAGCATCCTAATCAAAAATTCCCAACCAACCATGAAACCCCATATCAAAACAATCAGGTCTTAAAACTTTGGGAAAATAAAAAGGTTTTAGCCTGGCACTGAAAAGAATAAAATGACGGCACCGGGCAAAACTCTCTGGGGAGTGCATTCCATAGCCAGGGCACCACCACCGAAAAGGCCCTTCTCCTTGCTGCCACGAACTGAGAGTTGGCATTTGGAGGCAGGCCTGAGAACTTGATCATAGAGTCTAGGCAGATCAAGGCTGGGGGAGGCATTCCATCAGATACTGTGGTCCCAAGCCATGTAGGGCTTTATAGGTTAACACCAGCACCCTGAATTAGGCTAACCCTTCCCGCTTTGTCTAAATATCTCCAGTGGCCTCTCTGCCCAAAGCTATCTTAGACGTTGGTCCTGCCAATTAGCCGCATCCAGCACAGAACACTTGGAGACTCAGGACAGCCACCTGAACTTGTTCCGGGAGCGACCAAGGCTTAGGAATTCCGCAGCTGGGATGCCATTGTGCAAGGCCAATTGGGGAAAGGCCTGTGCTAAGATCTGGGCACATCAATCGGCATCTTGGAGGTACTGGGATGCCAAGCTGTGAAGGGCTTTATACGTCAAAATCAGCACTCTGATTTAACCCCAGGCATGATCCTGAAGCCAGTTATAAATGCATGTATTCTGTACAATCTCAATCTATCTCTCTCTCAAATTGTACAAATAAATTTAGGCTACTTATAGATACAGAGACAGTGATGGGGTGAGAACCACATGGGTTCAATAAGCATATTTCACTGTGCTGAAGCATTTAAAACCTACTGCATTCCTGAAAGACCCACCCTCAGCAGAATTTATTCCACATGTGCCATAGAAAGGGACCATCGTAACGGCAGGGAGATGCAGCACCTATTTTTGCTTTTTTCCTGAGTAGGAACAGCTGCACCCTCCATCTGGGAGCAGACAGCCCTGTGGATCACACCCTAAAGAATGCCAGGCATTAAAATTCTTTGTTCAGATTCTGAGAATTGGCAGGAAACGTTCCATAAATCACATGCAAAGCTAGGCTGGCCTGCCTGTGCTAATCTTAGTCATGCCGTTTGGCACCTGAGCCTTTTCTTCTGCTTTGGAACCGACACATCACAGCAAAGCAACTTGGACACAAGCACCTAAATGCTGCGGGGGGGGGGGGGCATTGATGACTCACCTTTGCATGCATCAAGTTGTAGATGGCATCAGAAATGATCTCTTTCCCAAAAGCTCCAGCAATATCCCACAGAAGGGCTCTGCATTCTGTAGAATAAAAAAGTGCTTCAACTATATGTGTATGCATAAATCTGCATAAAAGTACAAATCTTCTGCTTGGAACCGATTTATAATCCAAAGCCCTGCTTCGCACCTAAAGGGGCCTGGCCGATATTGCAAAATCGATAGGGACAAGCAGATCTCTCTGATAACGCAATGAACTGAGGGCTTAATGACACTTTTAACTTGCAACACTTAATGACAGTCTTTACGCATAACTTTATGAATGGACAAGTCCACGGCTATTTGAGGAAGTCTATGCTGATGGAAAGCAGGAGGTGTATTCTGCTTTATACAAAACGTAAAGGGGTATGCATTTCATACGTATCTGCTGCAACTGATCCATTCAAATTGCAGGTAAGAAGCTGTATTATTTTACTTTTTGTTTTTCCTTTGACCTAAGTAAATTCAAAATTAAAATTAATAGAGGAATGGGTGCTGCTGATCCTGGAGGCAGCTTCCAGACAAGTCCAGCTGTCCATAGCTTCCCACTCAAGCTCGTGCTGAACACCGCATTGATGGACCAAGCAGGCGTGGGCCTCCCAAAATGGAGGGCGCCACCTTCTTTGGTACATGGATGCAAGGTCAGTCATGCCTTTTCTCGGGGGATGTGGAGGAAGGAGCACCCAAACAGGCAGAGATTCATGGAACGCCTCCCAGCAAGGTGGAACAATGGACGAGGCAGGTACATTTTATGGATCAGCGTTTCCCAATCCAATCACGTCACTCGTTATGCCGTGTTCTCCTGTTATTCAAAGATGGTTTCCTGGATGGTCCCCTCCTTTCTGTAGGTGCCCAGTAGTCTGGGGGAGCCTCGAGCCCCCTCCATGCTCAAGCCCAAGCTCCCCCCGCCACTGGGACCAGCTGCCCTCACGCCCCGGCTGGAGAGCAAGCCCTAGCAGAGGCTCATCAGCCCCCCGTCCCGGGACAGCGGCCAGAAGCGAGCTATGGAACAGCACCGGGAGCTCCAGCGGCACGCCGACGCCAGCACTCACCTGCAGCATGGGGCCTGTGACCAGGCTCCTGATGCCAGCACAGGTAGATGAGCCGCAGGAGCTGGCTGCGATGCGGCAGGCTCTCCGGAATGACCTCCGGCCCCGTCCCAGGCCGCAGGCCACAGCAGACTCCCGTCACGGCTTCCAACAAAGTCTTCTTTCCTGCGGAAGAGAGCGGGATACCTCACGAGCACCGCCCTGCGAAGCAGTACTGGCACTTGAGCCAACGTCCAGGCGGGAACTGCATTTCCACTGAAAGTCAAAGAAAGCCCGCCAGGGGGCAGCACAGGACCGAAAGCAATTGTAGGGATGTCAACTTTCACCCGATCTTGCTGGCTGGAGGGTCTCCTCCGCAAATGCAGCACTCGACCAGGCAACACTGCAGCAGTGGCTCGGTTGCTTCTGGTAAGGGGGGCAGGGGGCATGCTGGCCTGAAGGGGACCCAGAGAGAAGGGGGCAGCCCCCGCTGTTGGGAATCACCCCCAAGACTTATTCCCAGTATGCCCTGTAACAGCCAGTCCTGGAGATGCTGGTAGGCCTTGCTTCCCGGGACAATTACAGCCTTGAAGGCCTCAGTAGCATGTTCGCCATCACAGCTAAACAGCCACATACCTTCAGTGCAAGGGCCCAACGATGCTTTACCATGTGGGTCGCCCCAAACTTTTTGGCTCAGTGGAAGCACTGGGGATTTGAGGGCACTTTGTACATGCCCTCTTAAAAAGGTTGCCAGGGGGATGGCCAGGCAGACCCATTTTCCAGGTGTTAAGCTGGGGAGAGTCAAGAAAAAGTCACTTGCCCAAGAATTTAAGTGCAAGGCAGAAGTGAAATCCGAGGTCTGAGACACGAGAAAAAATAGTTGAACCAGTCTTAAGAAAGCAGGAGGGCAACAGCCATGGGTACCGCACTGGCGATCAAAGCCTTCCACTGTGCTAAGCAGCGTGGCCTATGGGTTAGCGTGTTGGACTGGGACTCAGCTGATCGCAGTTCTTGTCCCCAGCTGGCCATGAAACCCACCAGGTAACCTTGGGCCAGTCATTGGCTTTCAGACTACCCTACCTCACAGGACTGTTGTGAGGGTAAAATGGAGAAGAGGAAAAAGATCATATGGGCCATTTTAGATTCAGTGCAAATAAATCAATAACATTTTAGTTTCAGTTCAGTTTAGTTCATGTTGCTTGTTGTAAACCATCCCAAGATGCCAGTAGATGAAATAAAGAAATAGTTTCTGGGCTTTTTAAAAGGGATGTGAAAATAATGAGCGGTTTGACTCTGAAGAGGACTCGGCATTAAGTCGCACAACTTGGGGAGGGCACTCAGACCCCGGGATGCAACAGGAGGCCATGAGGACCAGCCTCTTTGCTGGCTCCAGGGCGAGACCACAAGACATCTGACGCGCAGGAAGACCCATGGCCTCTTCTGAGGCAACAGCGGCCTCGGTTCCCCAAGAGTTGATGCTTAGGTATCCAAAATGGGATCACCTGTGCAGGAGACGCATTCCGCATCACGGTGCACTTTGGATCAGTGTGCCTCCAGGTTTGCGGAAATGGTCATCATCCACCATAGGAAAAACCCCGAGAAGCAGCACCCCGCTAGGGAGGAGTCGGTGGGCACGAAATGCTGGCTGACTGTTGTGGGGGAGAGAATGCAATGGAGCATTTTAAAAGGGCATGGCTGCCTGGCTGGCTGATACCCTCACCAGAAGCACTCCATACTGCAACATTTTGTTGCAGGCCTAACATGCAATAAAAACAGGGGGAAGCTCGATAGTACTGTGCAGCTGCGAAATTTTGGAGACACTTTTGTAGATGTTATCTCGTGTAAGCTGAGAGAATATTGCTTTTATTGAAGAAAGGACCAAGTCAAAGGAGAGTGCGTTAAAAACCGCCCTTTACTGAAAGCTCTGTTTGGGCAAGCGAAGGAGGACAGAGTGGGTGGCACAGCAACACTTACCTTTCAGCGGCTTCTGTCTGCTGAGGCTTTCCCAGCACAACATTCCAAAGCTAAGCACAAACAGGAAAGAAAAAGCACCTCTTACTTTGGAATATCTGCTGTCCAAACGAACAAGTTCGTAAGCCCAGGAAAACATTACACAAAAAGCCATCTATTTTTTTTCTCCCTGGAAACATTCCTCTTGTGGAAATTTTGGAAAGATGACTGGGCAAAAAGTTACAGCCTTTGGTATTAAGCAAAGGATGTACAAAACAATACAGGTGTGGAACATTGTGCAAAGAGAGAAGGTCTCCTTCTGTTCTTATAAAAGTAAACTCCACTGGGGCACCCCACTGAAGCTGATGGGTGGGAGGTTCAGGACAGATTATTTAATTATGTATTATTTATAACATTTGCATGCCACCCAATGTTGCCACAGAACCTCTGGGTGGCTCAAAACACAATAAAAACATAATAAAAACCACGACACATCACACATTAAAAACAACAATAAAGTATAGCAAAAAATACAAAACAAAGGTCTATGGCAATTAGTTATTAAAATGGTTTTTAAAAAAGAAAGATTAAAGGAAGAATTTCCACACACAGAATTCACTATCATTTCTATACCACCTATAACCAAAGGCAGGGGTCCTCAAACTTTTGCAATAGGGGGCCAGTTGAAAGGCACCAGTGATGGGCGCGGGCCGCCAAGGCGGTGTGAGGGGGGGCATGGGCTGGGACAGGGTGGGGGGGTGCACGCACACACGGGGAGGCAGGGGCAGCCGTGTGTGGCGATCCTTTTCTCCGAGCGAGTCCAAAATGACCTCCGCACGAGCAAGCCGCTGCCTCGCCGCCAGCGGGCGGTGAGTCCCAAACCTCTATGGCGGGCCAGATAAATGGGCACGGCCGGCCATAGTTTGAGGACCCATGACCAAAGGTCCCTGGACAGTTCACAACATTAAGTCTCCCATCCAGGGTGTGACCAGGTCTGACCCTGCTTAGCTTCCATGGTTAGGCAGGTTCAGGCACAGAATGAGAAAGCGAACCTGTACACATCGCCTTCTCGCGAAAAGACCCCCCCTTGCAGTGTTTCGGGGGAGAGGCAAAGCAAGTCCCAGCAATTTCTGGTGTTGCAGTTATGCAGGACGGATGCGAGCTGACGTGTCCTCCAAGTCCTTAGGCCATAATCTGATATCTGCAAGAAGGAAGCAGAGTCTGAGAAACAGGACACGCCATTCGCTGGCTCAACAAACAACTTATGTAATTTAGGGTGCAAATTGCTTCCCCCTGCCCGCCTGCCCCCACCTATACATGTGTCCTCAACCAGTTTACCATCTTTATCAAAACTGTTTTTCTATAGATTAAAAGGAAACAAGGCAGTAAGTGCTGATAATGATGCCACCTTCGCTCTGTACTCAAGAGTTAGCAGGACGTTGGAAGGTTTCAGGCTGTAGTGTAAGATGGGTGACTCCAAACTGTGCAGGTAGCTTAAGCCCTCCGCCACGTCCGACAGGATTCTCACACACAGAGGGAAAGGCAGTTCTGGGTAGAGTTCGTGCTGAAAGAGAAAGGGGGAAAGGGCCCCAAATAGACTTTGCTTCCACACATCCAACCAGGACTGTTGGCACATCCCAGCTCACTTCTGCTGGTGCGGGGAGATAAACCCAGAATGGCTTTCTCTGTCTGCTATCCAAACCTGGTATGATGGTTTGTTGTGCCCTTTGCAACCTAGCACCCTAAACCGTGCTTACTGTTGGAGTATGAATCCTGGTTTATTTGGCAGCAACAGAATAGTATGCCAGGTTTGAAAGTCACACAAACAAACCATTTCTGATAGCTTTACCTGCTAGTGGGAAGCATGAGCAGAGATGAAGCATGTGCTGTATGCACAGTTAATCCATGGCAAAAACCTTCGAAGGCTCTGCCCAGACAGCTCCTTTCTCTTGCACGTACCTCGTGGATGAGTGAATGGAGAGATCCGCTGTGCATCCACTCCGTGACGACGCCAAGGAGACCTTGGAACGGGCAGATTCCCAGAGGAGGCAAGAGTCTCTCGCACTGGAGGCATCGGGTGTTGGCCACCTCTTCAAACAGCACCTTCAAGTCTCTGCAAACATATTAAGGACTTCAAAGCTAGCCCCTCTGCAAGGGCAGTTTTGGATGGAGAACAAGTCCGTTCTCGTCTGCCAAATCTCCTGGAAGTTCACCTTCCATTATCACGGCGTCTTCACCTCCATTCTTTCCTTGACGCATGATTCTATGCATGCGCACAGAGATTTGCTCTATGCGAAGCTGCTTGTGAAGGCCATCCAGGTGCTTTGATTGGTGGGAAATACAGCCTGTGGTCAGGAGCAAATTGTACTGTCCTGAAAGACCTGCACTGGTTGCCAATGCATTTAGGTTCAATTCAGGGTGTTGGTTGTAACACCAAAAGGGCCGGATAGCTTCAGACTTGGCTCTCCAAGGTCCCCAGCTCAATTCCTGCCATCTCCAGGTAGATCTGGGAAAGATTTCCCCTTGGGAACCTTGCAGTGCTAGTGCAGACAATGTTGGATTAGATGAACCAGTTTTCTAACCTGGTTGAAGGCAGCTTCCTGGTTACCCATGGAAGGTTTTCCAGAGTGGTAGCCCTTGCATTCATCTGTTGTAGCAAAAACAACAGAGTTTTGTGGCACCTTAAAAGCAGAACATGCGATCTGCATAATCTTTTGTGGAAACTGCCCAGTTCATCAGATGCATGAATACACATATTCACCCTTAAGGTGCTAAAACTAGCATTGGGCCTGTACTCCGTTTCTGATGGGAACGGTGTTTAAAAAACACAACAACTCTCACTCAAGAATTGAGCACGGGTGGTTGTTGAATGGTGAGTTGTTGTGGAAACAACCCAGCTGTGCTCACAAGTCTTGGTTTATTACCCACAATGCATGAAAGGAATCCAGAATTTGTTGTTGGCTTGTGGACTGTTCATCACGGCTAATATCATGGCTGGGTTCAGACAACACCATAACCCAAGTTTCAGCAACAGCCCATACTCAACCCATACTCAGTCTTTGATTGAGGATTACCGTGTTGCTTCAACTCACTTCCACCACTGCATCATGGTCCTATTTTGTGCCTAATCCTGGCACTGTGGAATATTTCGCTCCTGCACTACTTCCATTCCTGCCAACAAAATTTGGCGGAAGCCAGTGGCATTCACTGCTATCTCCATCAAACAAGCAAGCAAGCAGAGGACCTACCTCTCTGCTGTATTCTGGCTAGTCAACAGCTTCAAGGAGACATCTGCATTTCTGGGCACGTGGAACGCTTTAAGAGCAAAGCCAGATCCTGTCCTGGCCAGGGAAATGCTCTCCAGCTCCTTCTGAGAGAGGACGGGCAACGGGCTGGACATTTTGTGTCGGCGAAGAGAGCTGGAAAAGATTTCAAGCACTTGTCTAACACCAGCAGCACCACCAGCAGGCCACCCAGCCACACAATCGCCCTGAACAATGCAAATCACCCTAGCAGTCCTTCTCTTGTCCCACAGAGTCATGACATTTCACAAGAAAAGCTCTTTTTCTTTTAATACACACACATGGCTTTGTAGATCTCCACTGCTTCGAACACATCTGAAATGCATCCAGCCTTCTAGTGAGCCTACATAGCTTTAAATAAAAGCAGACAAGTAGCTGGCACGTGCCCAATAGTAGTTATTATTTATTGCTCTGTGTTGTGTTGCTGCCGCCGCTGCTGCTCTTGTCTTATAGGCCTGCAAAAATGTTATTGTACAGAATTGTATTGCAGGTGAATCTGTTTCTAATTGTTTTCACTGCTGGGTTTTGCCTATCTTAATTATAGTGTGCAAACTGTTTTGAGAGCATTATGCTAATCAGAGGGTACATAAATGCTTTAAATAAATGCACAAATGGAGCCGCTCTTTCTGCAGCTGCAGCCGAAGAGGAGATGCATGCCAGGTTACTCCCTCCTCTTCCACAGCACCTGTCTAGACCTGGAATTCCAGCGGAACTGGGTCGGCCCTTTCCAGACGGCAAAAGCGGAGTCGGGCTGTGGTGACATGCGCCAGAAAGGCAAACACCCACAAATTGACACTGGAGCCCAGGAAGAGAGCGCCTCAGTCACGGCAAGAGAACATTCTAAAAATAGTTCGGGACGGAAGCAATCAGGGCATCATCATTCCTATTCATTCTATTGTACAGCCAGGCCTGACTTAGAAGAGAGAAGAGAGATTTAAAGCAGCAGAGGGTGACGTGGGCTTGACTTCACAACTGCAGCTACGTCTATTTGCCCATTTGTCCTCCGGAGAGGCTGATTTGGATCTTAAAAGCCCATGCGCTTCCACACCGGGTCCTGATCCAGGCCAAGGCCCAGTACCTTCTCCAGAGCAAAAAATGAACCACCATTCACAGGTGGAAACAGACATATATAGACGTTTGTGGACCATTGAAAGTTATGCAATCCTGTGCAGACTGAGTTGTAAAAAAATATGATGTTTTTTAACTGACCAAAAAGAGTATTTCCCCCATAGGCTAAAATATGAAAAAACTCCAAATTTGCACCAGACCAGATGAATGCATTTCACAGAGAGCCGCACATGCTGCAACATCAGAGAGTGTTTGCATGCAGGTGGGGGACTAAGGCAACTGCAGGACTGAAAAGAAAAAAATGGAAGCACCATCAGGAACAACTGGGGGGAGCTTTTATCATTTAAATGGCATTTCTATGCCTGCTTAGACAGAATGCAGCCCTACAATTCCCAGGATCACTCGCAGAATCTTATTCTGTCCAGACACACATAGGATTTTACCCACAGTGTCCTTTGCTGAAAACTAGCCAGACAAGGCCAGGGCAGTATGGTGCAGTGGTTACAGTACTGGACTGGGCCTTTGGAGAGCCATGTTCTGGTCCCACTGGCTGGATTTGGCCCGCCATGCCCTTTTAACTGGCCCACGCCACACGTTTTGCACTCACTAGGCACAGGCACGGCTTGCTCGCGAGGAGGTTGTTTTGGACTTGCTTGGAGAAAACGATCTCGTGAGCAAGCCTGCACCTCGCCCCGCGCGCCCCCCCCCATCCCCACCCCACCTGCGTGCACCCCGCCCCCACACTGGCCCGGCACCACCTTGGCGGCCCAGGCCGGCCGTTAGCACCTGTGAACTGGCGCCCTGCTCAAAAGTGTGAGGGCCCCTGCACTAGGCCCTGAATCTCACTGCATAACTGCGGGCCAGTCATGGACTCTCAGAAAAGCCTACCTCACAGGGGTGTTGTGAGGATAAAATAGTGAGGAGGTTTATGTAAATTGCCTTGGACACCTTACTGGAAAAAAGCGGGATATAAATGTAATAAATAAATGAGAGGTAACAGTGGCTTTTCCTCTGCTAGATTTCTAGCCACAGCAAAGGGTTTTGTTTTGGATTTGGAAGGGAGGGAAGGAGAAAGCTGCCAAGCCAGAGGCTGCCATTGCCCTGTTCACGGAACCCACCCTTTCGGGAGCCACCCGCTCAGCTTTATTTGCCCCTTTTTATCCCACAAAAAAGAAAGAAGAGCCATGGCTGGGGCGCTGCCAGGGACCTGGAATTTCCTCTGCTCCCAGGAACCGCTCCGGGCCCTGCAGCTCCTGCCTCCACGGGCTGCCTCCGGCGGGAAGGGCTCCCGGAGAGGCGCTCGCAAGGGCTTTGGCGGCTGCTCCGCCGCGCTGGGAATCAGCGCCCACCCCGTTCCCTAGGGGCCGCTCGCACTCTCGCGCAACTTTCCCCATGGGCCGCGCGGTGGGCACGGCTGCGCACCTGCCCAGGTCTGCGGCTCACCTGTCCCCCCCCCCCCCACCACGACCGGCTCGTCCGCCTGCCTGTTACGCCAGACAGTGAGAAAGAGGGGCAGGAGATGCCGCAGGCCCCATGCTCCTCAGCCCTCCGCATGAGCGAGGGCACTCTTGGAGAAGGGGGCCTGTGGAGGGCGCCACCCCCGGGGACACTCAAAAGACCGCGCCGGGCAAACCGAGCCCCGCCAGGGAGAGCTCGCCCCCAGCTCCCCTCCGCGGCAGCTCCCCGTCCGGGTCCAGGCCGCAAGCCCCCGAGGAGAGGAAGGGAGGAAGCCGAAGGCCCAGGCACGCGAGCGGCGTGGTGGCGAAGGGCGGCTGAACCAGGGCGCGGAAAGCCCTTTCCGTGAGGCCGGCAAGCCGGCGGCGGGAAAGGCCGGCGAAACTTCCCGGGGCACTTCCAGAGGGGCCGCGTTGTGCAAGCTCGCTGGAATTTACAGGGTTCCAGAAGCGAAGCCAGTCGAGGAGAATCTCCTAAAACAGGCGCTGCCACACGCAAGGGCTGCAACCAGGACGGGGTCTGCCCCCACTGGGAACTTCAAACCCCATCCCTCGTGGAAGGCGGTTTAGAAAGCCACAATGACTTTCATTTTCTCCCTTCAGCCATCCTCACTCGCTGTTTCCCTTCGGTGGAGCCATTCTTCAAACAGGGGGCTTGTGCACCCCCCCCATAAAATGCATTGTCTGGATATTTATTTTGCATGGAATCCACTCAAGCTGCTAGTCCTCTAGAAGTTCCAGCTGTACTACCTTCGCTCAGCTAGCATGCAACACAATACAAGAACAGCAATTCTTGACGGAGTGATCCCACACCTCCACTCAGGAGGATGCGAGCAGTGGGGTAAATGGGGATGGTTCTGGTGTGGGGGGACGTGGGGGGCGTAGGACTGCAGCCCCCGAGATGCCTGGGTTAATCCATATACTTCAAGTTTTGCTTTGCACGTTACAGGATCCTTTAAATTGATCTAGTGTTGAATCTAATTCAAGGGCAAGAAGAGTCTCATTTAAAAAATACTTAATCAGGGTTTTTCTGAATATCACAGCTCTGGGGGAGTGAGAAAGAACCCATGAAAAACATGTTTTACAGTGCATTCTTCCATGTCTTATACTTTATAGAGACTCCCATTAGAAGTAGGGGCGGCGTATAAATGCAAAACTAAATAAATGTCTAGCCAAGGGTAAGCAAACTCCAATGAATTCGGGGAGGGGGAGGGCTGTGCCCCAAAAATGTGAGCAAGATTTCAGCTTCGGGTCGTTCCCCATCAGCCTGCAGGCTCGGGCAATCCAGAACCCACCCCGTACTGTTTTGTTTCTGTGCGTCTGCTATGCCCCCACGAAAGGATCGCCTGAAGTCAGGAAAGCGTGCAAAACGATTACGCCCGAGCCACTTTGGACGGTCCCCGGCACGACACGCCGCCACCGAAAGGGGGCAAAGCGCTCTGGGGTACCACCGAGGGCAAAGATCCGTCCGGAGGGAACTTGCTTTGGATAAAGCGGTCCGAGCGTCGCACCTTGGCCATGCATAGTCCCGGAGCACTCCCCACTTGGCTTAGCGGGGCGGGGAGGAGAGTACTGCCAGGGGGCTTACCTTGAAGCTGTGCGAGGGCAGAGCGGCAGGCGAGGGCTCCCGCGGAGATCTCCAGCAAAACAGCGCTGCGGCACCGCCTCCAGCTCGGCTGATCCTGAGTCACCGGCTCTGCCAGCTCCTCCTCCGCTGGCTGCTGACGGCGGGCAGAAATTCCCCCTGCTGTCCGTTGCAGCTGTAACTCTTTCGCGCCCCACGGATGTGCTGACCTTCATTCCCCTCCAAGCCCGTCTTCTGCGTTCCTCCTTAAGAGAGCAAGCCAAAACCAGGCACTGGAAGGGGCGTAGCATCTCCAGCTTCGTGGCCGTTCCCCTTTCCCCAATAATAATGCTTGCATCCTTCCCCAAGGCGATGCTGTCCCAGTTTGGGACTACAGGCCCCAGAATTTCTCAGGACCAGCTTTTTCACCATGCCGTTAGGGACAACTTTTTTCACCACTGTCCGCCTTTTCCCCCTTTTTGCTTGAATAAGACTTTTGCAGCATATGAACATGTCCTGCCAGTGCGGCCTAGTGGTTAGAGTCTTGGGCTGGTGACTCGGGAGATCACCACTCAGCCATGAAACTCACTGGTGACTTTGGGCTTGTCCCTGACTCCCAGCCTAACCTACCTTGCAGGGTTGTTGTGGAGATAACATGGAGGGGAGAGTGAGAGAAACTACCTTGGGCTCCTTACAGGAAAAAGGGTGGGCTAGAAAGTTTATTTATTTAAAACATTTCTATGCCGCCCCATCACAACAAAGCCTCGGAGCAGCTCACAACACATGAATACAGAAGTAATAAATAAGTACTAAATTATACAATAAATAACACCCCCCAGTGCATTCTCAGCTAAAAAAAAAAAAAGTTCATGACTGAGTCCTTTTAATTGGTGCGACTAGGAAAGTATGTTGCTTTTTATCCTACCCCATATATGAGGATGCCATGCAGGAATCTTTGAAAGTTCTCAAAGGCTATTAAGTGGGTTAAATATATATGAGTTACCCAGAGATCCCCGTGTGAAAATGATTTTTTCTTCACTGGGGAAAAATGAACACTTCTTGCCCCAGACTCTGTTTCCCTAACTGAGCTCACTGGCAGGACCCACTTCACTGCCTCCGCCCTCGCACAGCCAAGCAGGGCTGCGGGGAGGAGGGGCAGGAGCAGTCCTCTTCCTGAAGGTGCCCTCTTGACGCTCGGTCTGTCCGGGCCCTGCTGAAAGAGCAGGGAAGCAATAAGGGCCTTCATGGTCCCCATCCACCATCACTGCCCGCACGGCTGACTGAGCGGACACGCATCACCTGTGCACAGCCGACTGGCATGCTGCTGGGGATGATAGGAGCTGTAGTCCCATCCCGAGCAGGTGCCTCTTTGCTTCTGCAGCAGCCTCACATGAGACTGCAAAAGCACCTCCTTCTATTAAAACCCAACAGGTTACAGAACAATAGCAATCAAAGCGTTGCTCTCACACCTTGAGATGGGAGAGAGAAATTTGCCCATGTGAAGAGCTGAGTTCGAGCTGCAATTTCCCCTCCTCCTTTCGCTTTCCAAAAAGATCCTGCTTCCCCCTCAGGGTGGTTCCTATTCAGCAGGAAGGCCGGGCACATCGTAATCGGCCTGCTCGTTTTGCCCCTCACCTCCTATGCAGGTCACGGAGCTCCCCCACATCTCTCCCCGCTTCTGGAATGTCTCCTCCTTTTCCAAGGCGGGCTGGTCCTCCCGCCCTGCCTGGGAATCCTCACCGGGTATCCCCAGAACTGCCAAGCCCTCTGCCCCTCCGCCGCCTCCTCAGGATCAGGCGAATCTCTTCAGGCAGACGGCAACGTGCCAGAGTCGGGCCCCTCTCCACCAGTCCAGCACACCCGGAGGGCACCAGGTTGGGGAGGCTGATGCGGGCAATACCGGATGGCAATTCTGTCCCAGCGAAAGGGCAGCTTCCTCTTCTGGGGAAGGGCTCCAGCTCCGTGCCGGGACATGGAAGGTCGCTGTCCACTCCAAGCAGGCCGGGAAAATCCCTTGTCTGTAACTCTGGAAAGCAACTTCTGATCCGTGCAAAACGTGGGTTTGGGGAATTTCAGACCAGAGACCCGCTTTCAGCTCATACATGCACCTCGGCGCTTGTTTGCACTGCACTGCTTCTGCAGTTCAGCTGGAATCACACGAATGCTGGTCCCAGTCCAGCAGTGGTCTAGACAGAGGCAAGAGAGGTGGACCTGTCGTGCATTTGGCAGCAAGAAAGCATTTCACTCTTCAAGCGCATCTGAACATTTCGGTTGTTTTAGCAAAACTATTCTGCTATCACATGACGTCTTGCACATGGTAGGCATGTACATGCGCGTGCGCATGCACAAACGGCAGTTTCAACATCAAAAATAACAGCGATGACGGTCTTCCAGGGTGGTCATTGCTCCATGCACCCACATAGTCATGAGATGAAGATAGCAGGTCTTTCGACACAGTGCCACTCCAGTAACACAGAAACACAGACATATAGAAACAGAGTGAGTCAGAAGGGGCTCCCGGGCCATCAAGTCTGACCCCTGGCTCCAGCGAGCTCCGCTCATGACATGCCTACCATGTGCATGTCCAATGCAACATGCAGACTTGTGCCAGGGTGTTTGGAGGCAATGCAAAACTTCCTTCTTCTCGAAGAACAAGACTACATAATCACCTTTGTGCCACTCCTCTTCTTGATTTATCATATTTATTTATGAGTAGTTTTGCTCTTTTGCTGGAAGCCTCTTCTTGCTTTCAAAGGCCAAAGCATAAACAGTGTCAGCAAAACTATTGCATGTTGAAAACTAGCCTCTCAGGGAAAAGGATTTACCAGAACTTTCTCCCTGACACTCTGATAGTCCAGATTCAGGGGTTTGTTTTCGTTTTCTGTACTTTCTGTGCATGGAGAAAACACACCCAGGGTTGACTTGCTGGCTGACTTGCAAAAAGAGTTTTCATACTTAATTCCATGGATTGATTTATACACTGTATTAGCCCCTCAAGGAAGTAAACCAGTTTGCCGCTGGGTACCATTCTTGTTGTGGAATTCTAGCGGACTCGAATTAAAAACCCATCTCCTGCCAGCAAAATGCCGCGTGTCTTCCAGTGTTTCACAGAGACAACAGGGGCTCTTCTCTCCTGGTCACATCACTATTTCTCACAGCAACGGCTGCACCCTGAGACCTCTGACGCACCTTTCTGGCACTTCCACCGTGCACGAAGTGCAGCTGGGTCTCCGCTTGTGCCGGTTTCCGAAGCAAATTCCATCAATGACTTCTGAACAATGCTTCCATCCTTGGTTTGCCCGGATGCCGACCTTCCTTCCTTAGCTTTCCAGAATTAATGGGGCTGACAGAAACTGCAGTTTGAAAAAGGAATGATGTCATGCGCCAGCCTGGTAAATATTGTGCCAGGAAGTTAATGTCTGGCGAAAGAAATTGCCGACCTGCCAGGAGGGAGTGCTGACATTTCTGTGCGGGCTACAGAGGAGGGCAAACTTCTTGTGGTACATTTCAGTGGTCTCCCAACATTGCTGGGGAACCCCTGTATTAATCAGGGCCTAGCTCCAGAGTCTGTGGGATGCCAAACGCAAGCCCCTGCCTCTCCCACCTCATTGCTGGCATGGAGGGAACAACTCAGCTGACTCTCCAGAGGTGCAGATCCCGCTCAGAGGGCCGTGGGAGGGGTGTGACGGGGGCGGGGAGGACAACACTTTGGGGCTGAGGCCTGCACAGTGTCCAAACCGCTCCACAGCTGCCTTCCTCTCTGCTCCGTAATTATTCAGCGGGCCCTTGCTAGGTGAACTAGTCTCTTAGCAGGCTAATAAAAAGGGGCCTTCTCCCATGCAGGATCTGCATGCCCAGGTTGCTCAGGGAGAAAGGAGTTTCCGTCCTTCCTTCCTTCCTTCCTTCCTTCCTTCCTTCCTTCCTTCCTTCCTTCCTTCCTTCCTTCACAGCCAGCATAAACACCAAGCAGCCCATCCCTCTTCTGCCAGCCCACCCATTCAGCTGCAGGGACTTCTTCAGCACCACTGAGGACCAGGTGACTCGTTAAACAGGAGGCTGTCTTGTGTGAAGGGTGCTGGGTGGCTGCACGGTGCCTGGCCGAAAAATCCAGGACATGTCAAAACATGACGTCTCAGAATGGTATTTGGCTAGGATGCTACCAGGTACCCCAGTTTTTGCAAAAGGATCTGCAGATCTTCCTTCACAGCAGATGTGTGTTACCTTTTATTAAAAATGCATTTCTTTGTGGGTTCAAAAGAATGCTGAAAGTATGAAGAAGCAGGTTAGCAAAGAATACAGACCTCAAAAATGTTTTCGCAGGATTACTGGATTGTGAGTGAGTGAGTGAGTGAGTGAGTGAGTGAGTGAGTGAGTGTGTGTGTGAGAGAGAGAGAGAGAGAGAGAGAGAGAGAGAGAGAGAGAGAGAGAGAGGAGGGCTAAGAGCAAACTCTCACACAAATTTAGCAAGAAAAAAAGGCCTACAATTCCCACCATGCCTCGGCCAGCTTTCTTAAAATGCCTCAGCCAACTTTCACAATAGGTGTGTACTCCAGAAATTGCTCAAATCACTTTTGAATTTTAGCATGCATTTCTGTGATTGTCCTTATTGTGTATGAGATTGAGCAACAAAGAGCTTTCAAGTACTTTGGAGTCCACTGAAGCTTTTGCCAGGATAAATGTGTTCGTTTTTAAGGTGCCTTGAGTCTCTTTGTTGTTTCTGCTGCGGTAGAATAACTCAGTTACCTTTCTGACGTTGTTGCAAAGATTAGCACTTCCAGGACAAGTGAAACACAAGGTGAGAAGAGCAACGGTGTGTGCGCGCACACACACACACACACACACACACAAAATTGGGTTGATCCTGTGAATGATGCTCTGCCAGCATCATATTGTAGGTGAGCAATGCTGACAATAAGAACAAATGAATCAGAGTATCAAATGGAAAAACAGTGTTAATAAGAAACATGTAGGTTGCTTTCGTGCCACAAGCATTGCACATCGCTGTTCCGAAAGTACCCATGGGAATGCTGGAAAAGTGATTCGATGAATTCCTTTGTGTCATTCTGGTTATTCAGGTTGGGCACCT